CCCGGGCCACATTTTGAATGCCCGGAGCCAACTGTAGGCCACTTCGTGGTCTTCGAGTCCCCAGAACTCCATTTCCGGGCCACATTTTGAATGCCCGGAGCCAACTGTAAGCCACTTCGTGCTCTTCGAGTTCCCAGAACTCCATTCCCGGGCCACATTTTGAATGCCCGGAGCCAACTGTAGGCCACTTCGTGTTCTTCGATTTCCCAAAGCTCCATTCCCGGGCCACGTTTTGGATGCCCGGAGCCAACTGTAGGCCACTTCGTGCTCTTCGACTTCCCAGAACTCCATTCCCGGGCCACATTTTGGATGCCCGGAGCCAACTGTATGTAGGCCACTTCGTGCTCTTCGAGTTCCAGAACTCCATTCCCGGGCCACATTTTGGATGCCCGGAGCCAACTGTAGGCCACTTCGTGCTCTTCGACTTCCCAGAACTCCATTCCCGGGCTACATTTTGGATGCCCGGAGCCAACTGTAGGCCACTTCGTGCTCTTCAAGTTCCCAGAACTCCACTCCCGGGCCACATTTTGAATGCCCGGAGCCAACTGTAGGCCACTTCGTGCTTTTCCATTTGCCTGGGGCTAGCGTTGCGTCAACCTTGCCGGCCGGCCGGCCGGCTGACGCACGCGACGCGCTGCCTGGTGCGTCGCATCGAGGGGGCGCCAGGCCCGCCCCCTCGAGCTCCCCCTCCCACCATCCGAGACAAAGCGCTGCGCGTGCGCCCCCGCGCAGAATCGCTCCTGCGAGAATCGGAAAAGGTCGCCTGGTCGGGCGTCCCCCAACGCGCGAACGAACCCCGGAGACTCTGGGACGACGTGGTGTCAGCGCGGGAACCTCGCGCGCGCGCGAGCCGCGGAGCGTCCGGCGAGCTGGTCCCCTTTGTCGTGGCCCACCATGATCGCTTCTGAGATTGAGGCCCTGGGTAAGTTATTTCAATCGCCATATGCGCTCGCCAGCGCGCCTGGGCATCGAAAAAGAGCGCGCAGGCGCGGTTCTGGCGTCGCCAGCGTAACATGGGCCCCAAGGTGCGACACCTCGTTGGCCGGCAAACCGCTGCGCGCCTGGGAGCGCCTGGGAGCGCCTGGGAGCGCCAGGGAGCGCCTGGGAGCGCCCGGGAGCGCCTGGGAGCGTGCCGGGAGCGCTTGGGAGCGCTTGGCAGCGCCGGGGAGCGCATGGGAGCGCTTGGCTGAGAGCGCTTGGGAGCGCTTGGGAGCGCCTGGGAGCGCCTGGGAGCGCTTGGAACGCATTTGGGAATTTAGGGGCCAACGGCCCTAAACCCTAAAAGGCTTTAGTTTGGGAGGTTGCCGGCCATGCGGCCGGGGGTGGGAAGATGTTGCACCTCCTGCCCCCTTCGCCAAGCTTGCTCGGGTCGGCTACCCGCCCCCCCAATCAAGCTTGCCGAAGGGGGGGCAGCATTGCCTGGACTGTCGGCCGCTGCGCTAAGAGAAGCCCTAAACCCTAAACCCTAAATTCCCAAGCACCTCGTTGTGCTTCTGCCCACCCCACCGCGCATCACCGTCGCCGTCTACGAGAGACAGGGCATCTCTGAGATACTTCAGCGGGTTGCCAGACTGGGTCGTCCTGGTAGCCTAGGGCTACCTAACCCCACGCTTGGGGATCTACGATGCAAAGATAAACCATGCTTGATCTTCGAAGAGTACAACACCCTAAACCCGGGGACCTTTCGTCCTCTGATGGCGCTCTACATGTCCCCGACACGTAAAAACACGTGTGGGGCGCTCTAAGCGCTTCTGGGCGCACTTGGGAGCGCCTGGAAGCGCTTGGGAGCGCCTGGGAGCGCCTGGGAGCGCCTGGGAGCGCCTGGGAGCGCTTGAAAAGCGCTTGGGAGGGAGCGCCGGGGAGCGCCTGGGAGCGCCGGGGAGCGCCTGGGAGGAGCGCCTGGGAGCGCCTGGGTGCGCCTGGGAACGCTTGGGAGCGCCTGGGAGCGCGGGAAGCGCTTGGGAGCGCCGGGAAGCGCCTGGGAGCGCCGGGGAGCGCTTGGCAGCGCCGGGGAGCGCCTGGGAGCACTTGCGAGCGCCTGGGAGCGCCTGGGAGAGCCTGGGGGCGCTTGCGAGCGCCTGGGAGCGCCAGGGAGCGCCTGGGAGCGCTTGGAGCTATTTGGGAATTTAGGGGCCAGCGGCCCTAAACCCTAAAAGGCTTTAGTTTGGGAGGTCGCCGGCCATGCGGCCGGGGGTGGGAAGATGTTGCAATTCCTGCTCCCTTCGCCAAGCTTGCTCGGGTCGGCTAACCGCCCCCCCAATCAAGCTTGCCGAAGGGGGGGCAGCATTGCCTGGACTGTCGGCCGCTGCGCTAAGAGAAACCCTAAACCCTAAACCCTAAACCCTAACCCTAAACCCTAACCCCTAACCCCTAACCCCTCACCCCTAACCCTAAACCCTAAACACTAAACCCTAAACTGCAAGCCACGGGCGGTGCATCGTCAGAAGCCCGTGGCGCCTGGCCGAGCGCTCAGCGAGCCTGCCCATACAGCGTGCGCCGCACCGACGAAGCGGCGATAGCCGCTGAGGAGGAATTCGCACGCCGCGCGGTGCATCCCCGTGGTGTTCTCCTAAGAAAAGGAACCCCTAACCCTCAGCCCTAGCAAGCGGGTTCCCTGCGCGCTCCTACATCCCTTGGGGCTCCAAACCTATGAAAATACAGCATGCGGTGCCCCCTGGGTGCTCCAAACCTATGAAATTACAGCATGCGGCGCTCCAAGCGCTTCCAAACGTTTCAGGCGCTCCCAAGGACTCTCCAAGCGCTTCCGGCACGCTCCCAGGCGCTCCCAGGCGCTCCCAGGCGCTCCCAGGCGCTCCCAGGCGCTCCCAGGCGCTCCCAAGCGCTCCCAAGCGCTCCCAGGCGCTTCCAAGCTTTCCCAAGCGCTCCCGGCACGCTCCCAAGCGCTCCACGGCGCTTCAGGCGCTCCCAGCACACTCCCAGGCGCTCTCGGCACGCTCCCACGCGCTCCCAAGCGCTCCCAGGCGCTCCGAGCGCTCCCAAGCGCTCCCAAGCGCTCCTGGGCGCTCCCGGCACGCACCCAGGCGCGTTCCCAGGCGCGCGCTGGCTGCGCTCCCTGACGCTCCCAAGAGCTCCCGGCACGCCCCCGGGCGCTCCCAGGCGCTCGCAGGCGCTCCCAAGCGCTCCCGGCACGCTCCTGGCGCGCTCCCAGGCGCTCGCAGGCACTCCCCAGCATTCCCAGCGCTGCCACAACTCCGAAGCGCTCCTAAGCGCTCCCCTGCGCTCCCAAGTGCTCCCAGGCGCCCAAGCATTCCCACGCGCTTTTCAGCGCCCACAAGCGCTCCAAGGCGCCACGCGGCGCTCCCATGCGCTCCCGCGCGCCCCCAAGCGTGCCCAGGCGGTTCGAGGTAGTCCCGGGGCTCATGGGGGAAGCTCCAGGTGCTCTCCCAGCGCTGCCAGATGGCCTTCCCAAGGCATTCCACGGGCTCTGCCATGGAGGTGCTGCCGCAGCCATGCGCGCGCATCGTAGCGAGGGGGTGCCAGACCCACCCCCTCGCGCTCCCCCTCCAGCCGCCCGAAGCTCGCGCCGAAGGCGGCTGCGTCGATGATTGCAATCGCTTCAGCCGGGGGGCGACCCCAAAAGCGAAACCCAAAGCCGCGGGCGAATGCAACTGCCGTGCGCGTCGCCGTCAGCGAGGAGCCCGAGGGCGCAACCACTCGCTCGAGGCCCGCGGGGAACCATGGAATTGCCGCGCCAGCGCCTTCGCAGCGTTGCTTTCCAATGCCGAAGGGAAATGCCGGACCCCTATGGAACTGCTGCGCCAGCGGCAGCCCACCGGCGAAGCTCCACGCCGAAGGTGCAAACGGCTGCCTCATCGACGAGGCAACCTGACGCGCCAGCGCCATGCACCCTGCGCGCGTGCTCGCATCGGCGCGCATTGCTACGGCCGCGGCCGCACGCGCGCATCCCAGCATTCACAGCCCAGCGTCACAACCCAGTGCCGAAGGCAAAGGCGGCAACGCATGGACATGCTGCGCCAGTGGCAGCCCAACGGCGAAGCTCAACGCCGAAATCGCCAAAGGCTGCCTCTTCGACGGGGCGACGCGCCGACGCGCCTACATCAAGCGCCCTGCGCGCATGCTTAAGTGGATGCGCAGTGCCACGGCCGCGTCGGCGATCGCCTGCGCGCGCCACTTCGACAGCCCCCCGTGATAGGGGGGTTGGGGGGAGAAACCCTAAACCGTAAAAGGCTTCACTCTGGGTGGTCTGGGGCGGGAATGCGACTAACCGTGGCGCGCGCGGCCTGGGCAGCGATCCCCCCCAACAACCCTGATGTGGGGGGGATCGCAGCCAGCGCGCGCTTGCGCCTATGCAGGCCCTAAGCCCTAAACCCTAAACCCTAAACCCTAAACCCTAAACCCTAAACTCGCCCAGGGCCGCTTGGCCCGTATCCACCCACCCATTTTGGCGGCAAGCGCCCTAACTGGCACCTCGCAGTCAGACTACCTCCCGGCCGTGCGTGAATGACAGGCCCTGTCCAGGTTGAGTCTCGGTTGCCGTCAGGCAGGGCCCGCGAGGGCCATCTCATTATCAATGATGCGGCTTACGCGCAAGCGATTATCCTGTGCCCGCCTGGGCGATCGTCAAAGAGACTTATAACCCCAAAACATCAACCGAATTCACCGTGCGCCTGCTCGGGGCCCTGCGGCGGCGCCAACATAAAAACGGTAAACGGTCACGAATTACCACTGGCATACATGTTTGTTAACGGGCTTTCTTAGAGAGCTCTAGGTGCAGGCCGTGTGTAGCGCCCAGGGCCTAGTGGCCCTGAGCGCTTGAACCTCCCCCCCCTCGGGCCTGAGAGACTGGAGGGGGTGGGGCAGCATGCGTAGCAGGTGCAGAATAGATGTCCATAACGTATTGGCTCTAGTTTCAACGAGCAGCAGCCCTCTCGCGCCTCCCTTTGAGCGCGCGCGGGATTGCAGCCACGACGCGCCTTTCCTGGCTCGCCGCGTGCGTGCTCGGCACCGCCCTGGTGCAGGAGGACGCTTTCGAGGATCTGCTGGATTACGCTTCGGGCGGGTTCGGCGGCGTGCTGTCAGGCTCCCCGCTGCTGCTGGGAGACGGCGAGCCCGAGCCGGAGTCGCCCTTCGACGAGCCCAGCGTCGACGCCGAGGACGTCGACCCTTGCGCGGACGAGCCCGAGGGGCAGCCTATGCCCTTCCAGCGATGGAACAGGATCTACTACCGCCCGAGGGCGGACTCCAACCAGGGTCTCACGATGCTCCTGGTCAGCAAGTTCAGCTCCACGCTGGGCGAGAAGAGATGGGTCTGCATCGACCCGACGGGCAGGCTCCAGGTCCTCGACCTCGGGCAGCCCGCGAAGGTGAAGTCCACGAAGTTCGCGGGCGTGAACCACGGCACCTTCCAGGGCCTCTCGGCGACGGAGAAGCAGAAGGCCATCGAGGTGGCCGACCGCATCATCGCCACGGGGTCCGCATCGACGACAGGCAAGATCACCAGGGACCACCATCCTCGAGGTGGAGGCGCCGCGGGACGCAGGTCCCACCGCCGCCACGCGGTGTCGTGGCTACTGAAGCTGGGCTCCAACATCGCGGGCTACGCTTGGGCCCGCCGGAGCTTAGGCACGGCGGCGGGTTCGACGTTCGTGCTGTGGCGCGCAGTCGTCTACCTCAACGTGGTGGAGTGGGTGAAGTGGAGCTACTCGTCGCTGAAGGAGACCGTGGACACGGTGGAGTATTTCAGGGAGGAGATCGAGACGGTGTTCGAGATGCACGAGTCAGGAGCTCTCGAGCCTCTCTACTTCTCAGTGGGCGTGATGCTCGTGAGTGGCTTCCTCATGTCGTGCTGCAGGTCATCTCGCCCCTCGCCTGCGCCATCGCCCACAACTTCCTCTGGTGCCTCAGCTCCCGCGCTTCCTGGTTGGAGCTGGCCCTCGTGGTCGGCCACATCGTCTCCCAGCCAGTCAGGATCATCGACTCCCAGGGACGAAGGCACTCAGGTGTCAGACGCCGAGGAGTCGGACTCGGTGGGAGGCGAAGTTCTGAGGCAGCTGGGTTTGGTGGCCGAGAGGCTCTCCGCTCTCGAGGAGAGGCAGGCGTCGCGCCCGACGGAGCCTCCTCAGCCAACTCCAGCGCCTTCAGCACCTCAAGCCCCAGCGAAGCCTGGGATCGGCGCGGACAGCTACGACCAGATGATGGGGGCCCTCCTTCAGAGGCTGGACCGCCACAAGGAGATGGTGGAGCAGGACAGCATGGCCGTGACCGCCGGCGGGTCCGAGCAGCGGGTGGTCAGCTCCACGTCCAACCCAGAGATCGACTCGCTGGTCAAGGGCCTGGACGACTCCTTCAAGGACATGCGCGAGGTCGCCAAGGAGAAGCTGCAGGCCTACTCCAGCGACGTGGCGTGGACGATCCCAGGGGGCATCAAGACGCGCGTGGCCCCGTCAATGGTGGCCCGCCTGTACCGCAGTGGGGCTTCAGCGGTGGCGAGCATCAGGGAGATGATTCGCACGAAGCAGCTGGACGGCAACCACATGGCGGAGGAGGCCCTCCTCATCAGCATGATGCTCGACCGATCCATGGTGGAGGCGCCAGCCGACTGGATCAACTACAAGACGACGGAGTTGGCGATGCGACGCCACCACGGCATCGAGAGGGCCTTCGAGAACGTCAAGCAGAGGTCGGACTGGAAGCCGCCCAACGGCTCCAAGGCGGGCTGGAAGTCTCGCGTCAACTACGCCCTGCTGGAGGAGCTCGACACGACCAAGTCGGACCAGGATGGCCTTCTCATCGACGGCGTGGAAAAGGAGCTTCGCGAACGCTTGGCTCACCGCGCCCTTCTCGCCAAGTCCCTCGACAAGCTGCAGGACAAGAAGCACTCAACAAGCAAGGACGACTGACAGCTGGGAGGTGCTCACGATTCAGGCGCTTCGCGAAGCGCATTCTCCTGGCAGCCATCGTCCTGGAGGCTGCCCACATCTACCACAACTTGCACAGCGTTATTTTCCTAATTTCTCATCACGATGAGAGCGGAGGTCGAATTCTCATCAGAGGGTCGAGTGCGCGACCCCTTGGAGGTGCTGCCGCTCCTGCCAGCGCCGTCCCCCCTGTCGTCTCCCTCGGGGCGGTCGAGGTCTCGCTTCGCCCAGGAGCGAGCGATCAGGGTCAGGACGAACGCCGCTCTGAGGTCCTTAGCCGCGCTGACGACGAACTCGTACCACGACCTGCGGGACTCCAGTTTCGGATCCTCCAAAGAGTGGGACACGAGCCACGAGCTGCCGCGCAGGATCTCCGAGAGGGTGCTGCAGTGCCACAGGGACGCGCACGATCAGAAGATGTACGACTCCGACGCCGAGTCCGCTTTCGAGCGGCTGGCCTTGCATGCCAAGCCTGGGACCTACGCGGGCTTCAGTGTATCAGACAAGGACGACGACGACGTGCCGCAACGAGGGAAGGTCATGCCCTTCGTGAGCGGCGAAGCGTCTCTGCCTCCAGCGGGGACGCAGCCATGCGACATAAGGATGATTTCACCAAAAGCGAGATATTACTTCGACCGATTCCACGAGAGGATGTGCCTGCCGCCCAGCCAGGTCGACGAGGCCGACATCGAGAAGACGAGAGCCTACATGGACCCCAGTTTGAGGAGCAGGTCAGCTCGCCTCCAGTTCGCGCTGAGACTATGGGAGTCAGGCATGCTCGGTTTCACGGACATCTGCAGGGCGGAGGTCTCGGTCTTCTTCGTCATGAAGAAAGTCAACGAGGCAGGCCAGTTCATTCTCCGGCCCGTCTGGGACCTGAGGCAGGTGAACAAGCGCTTTCAGAAGCCACCTCACCTTTCTCTTGGGTCTCCGATGGCGATGGCGGAGCTGGACCTGTCCGACGAGATCACAGATGGCAGGGTCTTGCAGTCAACGTGGGGAGACGTGCCAGACTACTTTCACAGATGCAAGAGCTGCAGCGAGCTGTGGCCGTACATGGTGTTCGGAGGCGTGACGATCCCCCAGCTTTTGAAGGAGCTCAAGCGCCAGGGCAAAGGGGTGCCGGCGGTCCCGAAGGGGGCCCGCTACCTGTGCCTGGTGGTGATGCTGATGGGCTTCAGCTGGTCACCAGCGATCTGTCATGGTGCTCTGGAGGACCTTCTGTGCGATCTACCTGGCTTCCCGCGGGGAGCTCAGCTGGTCCACGGGCGCGTCCCCCCCAGCTTCTCCGAGACGGCCTTCATCTACTGGGTGTTCATGGACGACTTCGCCTCGATGACCTTGCAGCAGGACGAGATGAGCGAGGTGGCGGAGGCAGTCCGCGAACACGCTGGGAAGAAGCTCAAGGAGGTGGGCCTCGACATGCACAAAGACGGAGTCGGGGCAGCGATGCCCCTCTCTCTGGGCGTGACGATCACTCAGCGCCCTCATCGCTTGATGGCAGCTCAGGAGAAGGTCAAGAATGTCATTGGTGCGACCAAGGCCCTTTTGGACCGAGGTCGAGCGACGCCAACCGAGCTATCAAGGATAATTGGGTCGTGGGTGTGGTTGGCGATGTGCTGTCGGGCCGCCTTCTGCATGCTGGATGCTTGCTACAAGTTCGTGACGAAGTACGGCGACGACGATCAGGTTCACATCCTGTGGGAGAGCGTGACAAACGAGCTGTACATGCTTTACCACCTGGCCCCCCTGATGTATACCCACTTGGAGTCGAAGTGGAGCTCCAGTGTCTTTGCTACGGATGCGAGCGAAGAAGGCCTAGGGGTAGTCGAGACGGAGGCGAGCCGGGAAGAAGTCCGAGCCGAAGTCAACCGACAGTGGAGAGCCGACCATCTTCGGGACATGGCCAGGGACGAGGAGGAGGAGGAGCTGCTCAGTGGCGAGAACCTCGAGCGAGCCAGACGAGGCATCCCCCCCGTGGTGTCCGATGGCGAGGTCCCTCCGATGAAGTTCATGGCCGACATTTTCTCAGGGTACGGCGGCTTCGGGCAGGCGATCCGCGAGGAACTGCAGTGCCAGACCCTGTTCGTGGACAACGCACGGGAGGCGCGCCACGACCTGCTGGACTCGTCCTTCGTCGAGCTCGTCTGTCGCGCCGTTCTTCGCCCCCTCTTCTTCATAGTCCACTTGGCCCCTCCATGCTCCACGTTCTCGCGGGCACGTCGACCCCCTTTGCGAGCTCCAGGCCGTTGGATTCGTGGTCTCCCAAGTCTTTCCCCTCAGCAGGTGCAGAGAGTACGGGATGGCAACGCTCTGGCCCAGGCAGCGATCTCGATTTGCTACGCGTGCCTGGCATCGGGGACAGGCTTTTCGCTGGAGAACCCCAGGACCTCGATGATCTGGGACCTCCCCGACATGGCGAAGTTGCTGACGATGGATGGAGTTCGCGTAGTGGAGATGGTGTACTGTGCCTTCGGAGCCCGATGGAAGAAGCCAACTCGGATATTGACCAACGTGCAGGCGCTGGAGGAGCTCGAATGCAAGTGCTCTCAGGATCACGATCATCAGGAGCTGCGGGGACGCGACTCTCAAGGGCGTCTCTGGACGCGCCTGGCAGCAGTCTACCCGCCACGCCTGTGCAAGGCCTATGCCTCTTGTGTGGCCAAGGCCGTGTCCAACAACGAGCTGAAGCTGCACGACTGGCGCATGCGAGAACTCCGAGGCGCATCGCCGAAGCCAGTCGCAGTCATGAGTCACTGGGCCAAAGTATCCCGATGGCATCTAGCGTGGAAAGGGGTATGGGCGTATCACGATCATATCAATGTGCAGGAAATGAGGACGGTCGCGTCGGTATCTCGTCACCTGTGTCGCTCGTCAAAGAACTGGTTCAGCCGAGTCTTGGTCCTGTGCGACTCTATGGTGACGGTGGGTGCAGTCAGAAAGATGCGGAGCTCTTCGCGACCTTTGATGACGCAGCTGAAGAAGATCGGTGCGATCACGCTGGCCACCGGTATCCGATTGACGCTGAGGTGGATACCCACAGACATGAACCCGGCCGACGGCCCTTCGAGAGGCGAGGAGATAGGCAGCGCCGAGATCACCAAGACCAAGTCCGAGCAGAAGAAGAGCGTGATGGACAGCGACTTCGAGTTCGAGAGGCTCTTCGGGGACATGCTGGAGATCAGGGGCATGCACGACGACTACGACCTGGCCTGGCATTTATGACGACGATCCTGATTCTAGCCTCGGCTCCAGAGATCACAGCCACGGCAACTGCAGACGCGGAGCCGACCGACCAGGACGAGAGCTTCCAGGCTGACGGCGACCACACCTTCGACAGTGAAGATGGGCAGGCTGCTGATGACGTGGGAATGTTCGCCGGAGCTCTCGAAGCAGCAGTGACAGTCAAAAAGACGGCCAAAAAGAAAGGCAAGCAACGAGCTCACGTTCCTCAGAACAAGAAAGGCCCCCTCGCCTTCGACAACGCCGCTCGGGGGCCCCCAGTGTCGAGAACCAGCCTGGGCTCTGGCACGCTGGAAGTACCTCTGCGGCTTCTCGTGCACGCAGTTCAGGACAACACTAACGTGTGCTACATCAAGGAGGTGGAGCCCTTCCTTGTGAAGGTGCGTCTCAAGAGGCTTCCCTTTGCCACGGCGGCCGAGCGTGACATCACCCTTGCGGCGGAGTTAGACCACATGTGCTTCGTGGAGAGGGCTTCGGTGTCAAGAGGAGTTCGATTGTACCATGGGCTGGTTCACATGTTTCCAGAGTGGAAGTCTGAGTTGCCGATCTCCTTGCGTGCTTTGCATAGCTGGGAAAAATTCCAGGAGTCCTGGGAAGGTGGCCCAGCCTCTGCCGAAGCAATCTATTTCATATCATCCCAGGCGATCAAATCAGGCCACATAGACGAGGGGATAGCATTTCTTGTAGCGTACGATTGTTATCTTCGAGAACAGGATTGGTTGCAGCTGAAGGGTGAAGACGTTCATGTTAGTGGAAAAACGTATTTCAATGATCCGCCAAGTGACGACACTCAGCATGCAGCTGGTGGGATCAAAGTGGCGCTACTTCTTGGACGGAGACACAGAGGTGAGAGTGTCAAGACAGGTCAAGAGCAAGGAGTGGCGATTGACAGCGGTCTTCTCTCACACATCCTGGCGGAGCGTGTCAAGCAGATCAAACCGACCGACAAGGTCTTCAATACCACAGCTGCCAAAGCAACTTCAGTCTGGAGAGGCATCCAATCCAAGTTCGGACTGGAGTGGATCGGACCGATGCACACGTTGAGACACAGCGGACCGAGCTACGATATCTTGCACAAGAGACGCTCAATTCAAGAAGTTCAGAGACGCGGACGGTGGACACAAGCCAAGTCGATGGCCAGGTATGCGAAGCCACATTCTCTTATCGTTCATGACGCACGGTTACCTGCGAAGATTAAGGACGCGGGCCGGAGAGCCCTTCATGATCTGAGCTCGACGCTGGAGAGCATCCCCACTCAGAGCCCATGGCGATCTGCAGCATCGCGGGGCTTGACGTACATCGCAGGATCTGACGCCGGCCAGGCCATGGAGCCCGTGGACCCGGCAGCCTGAGACGCGGCGGCGTGCCAAGCACTGTGGCCTCCCGCCTTGAGCCAAATTGTCTCCTCCCTCTTCTCCTCACTCTTTATATATCAGTGCTGACGCACCCACCCCCCCAGTCCCAGTCTTTAAGTGAGAACCCGAGGTTGCGGGGTGAGGGGTGTTTTTTCTTGGGCCTGTGCCTCTCGCGGCTGCTTGGGCCCAGGCTCTCGCCGACAGCGGCGAGCGAAACCTTCCGATCGGTGTGCTGCGCGAGCCGAGGGTAGTGTGAAAAAGGATCCCGTCTGGCCATCTTGGAGCTCGTTCTCAGAATACATGTTTGTTAACGGGCTTTCTTAGAGAGCTCTAGGTGCAGGCCGTGTGTAGCGCCCAGGGCCTAGTGGCCCTGAGCGCTTGAACCTCCCCCCCCTCGGGCCTGAGAGACTGGAGGGGGTGGGGCAGCATGCGTAGCAGGTGCAGAATAAATGTCCATAACGTATTGGCTCTAGTTTCCCATCCCAACCCTCCCTTTTTTGAGGGGGTGTTTTTTCTTGGGCCTGTGCCTCTCGTGGCTGCTTGGGCGCAGGCTCTCGCCGACAGCGGCGAGCGAAACCTTCCGATCGGTGTGCTGCGCGAGCCGAGGGTAGTGTGAAAAAGGATCCCGTCTGGCCATCTTGGAGCTCGTTCTCAGAATTTTTTTTCGACCTCGTATCTTAAAGTTTTGCAGGGTGGGCCACCCGATCGGCTGGCTGGCAAAACACGTTTCCTGGCAAAGCGAGCCCCGGCGGGGAATCCTGGGAGGGCCCGACCAGGCGCACGGTGAATTGGCAGCCGCCCAGGCCCAGGGGGCCCCCAGACCAGGCGCATGGTGAATTGGCCACCGCCCAAGGCCCCAGGGCGCTCCTGGACGCCGCAGGGGCGTCTCCTGGCGACTCGGGCGCCCCAAGGGTCCTCCAGACCAGGCGCGCGGTGAATTAGCCACCGCCCGGGGGGTCCGACCAGGCGCACGGTGAATTTGCCACAGCCCAAGGCCCCAGGGCGCTCCTGGGCGCCCCGGGGACGCCCCTCGCGATTCGGGCGCGCCAGGGGGCCCCCAGACCAGGCGCACGGTGAATTAGCCACCGCCCGGGGGGTCCGACCAGGCGCACGGTGAATTTGCCACCACCCAAGGCCCCGAGCGCTCCTGGGCGCCCCGGGGACGTCCCTCGCGATTCGGGCGCGCCAGGGGGGCCCCAGACCAGGCGCCAGGGCGCTCCTGGGCGTCCCGGGGACGTCCCTCGCGACTCGGGCGAGCCAGGGAGCCCCCAGACCAGGCGCACGGTGAATTAGCCACCGCGCGGGGGTCCGACCAGGCGCACAGTGAATTTGCCACCGCCCAAGGCACCGGGGCTCTCCTGGGCGCCCCGGGGACGTCCCTCGCGACTCGGGCGCGCCAGGGGGCTCCAGACCAGGCACCAGGGCGCTCCTGGGCGCCCCGGTGACGTCCCTCGCGACTCGGGCGCGCCAGGGGGCCCCCAGACCAGGCGCACGGTGAATTAGCCACCGCCCGGAAGGTCCGACCAGGCGCGCGGTGAATTTGCCACCGCCCAAGGCCCCAGGGCGCTCCTGGGCGCCCCGGGGACGTCCCTCGCGATTCGGGCGCGCGAGGGGGGCTCCAGACCAGGCGCACGGTGAATTGGCCACCCAGGAGCCCCCCGGGAGCTCCCGGGCTCCCCCAGGGCGCAGCGCTGGGCAGCGCTTGGGAGCGCCTGCGAGCGCTTGGGAGCGCCTGGGAGCGCCTGGGAGCGCCTGCGAAAGCCTGGGGGGCCCCCAGGAGCCCACCAGGAGCCCCCCACGGCTCCCCCAGGGCGCGCGCCACGGTGATCCCGCCGGAAGCCCTCCAGGAGCCCTCCCAGGAGCTCCCCAGGAGCACCCCAGGAGCCCTCCAGGAGCCCCCCAGGGCCCCTCCAGGGCGCGCGCCACGGTGAATTAGCTCCCGCCCGAGGCCCTCAGGAGCTCCCCCAGGAGCTCCCCAGGAGCCCCCCAGGAGCCCCCCAGGAGTTCCCCAGGGCACCCCCAGGGCGCGCGCCACGGTGAATTAGCTCCCGTCCGAGGCCCTCCAGGAGCTCTCCCAGGAGCTCCCCAGGAGCCCCCCAGGAGCCTTCCCAGGGCACCCCAGGCGCCCGCCACGGTGACTTGGCAGCCGCCCAGGGCTCAGGGCGCGCCTGGGCGCGCCAGCTGGATGTCGCAGTTCAAGAGGAGCGGCATCGGCGGAGCGAGCGGAGCGAGCGGAGCTGGCGCCACGTGCGCACAATCAAACGCCCGCACGGCGTTTCACCCCAAACTCTATCCCCCGACGTAAAGCGTCAACCCTAAACCCAGGATTGCGCATATCTAGACCCAAGAAGGTATCTGTTTACGTGTGATACAAAGAAAGCATTGTATGTCGTACACATGAGACAGAACGCCAAACCGATTGGAATCGTGGAGCCCTAAGAAAGAGAAACTCGACTACCAAATGAACCCTAAACCCTAATAGAGAAAGCCGTGGGTGGTTCGCCGCCCTAACGGGCGCGGGGTGGGAATGTGAAAAGGGGAGCTGGCCCCGTAGCCGAAACATGATTCCGCTCAACATGATGTCACCACAACACGACTACCCCACCCCCACTCCATTTTATGGGTGGGGGTGGTCTTACACGATTGATGATCAGCAAGCGCTGACAGAGGACACCCTAAACCCTAAACCCTAAACGCCCAGGGCCGCTTGGCCCGTATCCACCCACCCATTTAGGCGGCAAGCGCCCTAACTGGCACCTCGCAGTCAGACTACCTCACGGCCGTACGTGAATTCACAGGTCAGCCCAGTCGAGTCGAGGTTGCCGTCAGGCAGGGGCCCGCGAGGGCCTTATCTCATTATCAATGATGCGGCTTACGCGCAAGCGATTATCCTGTGCCCGCCTGGGCGATCGTCAAAGAGACTTATAACCCCAAAACTACAGACTAATTCACCGTGCGCCTGCTCGGGGCCCTGCGGCGGCGCCAACATAAAGACGGTAAACGGTCACGAATCCCCACTAGCAATTTTTTTTTTGACCTCGTATCTTAAAGTTTTACAGGGTGGACCCCCCGATCGGCTGGCTGGCAAAAGACGTTTCCTGGCAAAGCGGGCCCCAGCGGGGAATCCTGGGCGGGCCCGACCAGGCGCACGGTGAATTGGCAGCCGCCCAGGCCCAGGGGACCCCCAGACCAGGCGCACGGTGAATTGGCCACCGCCCAAGGCACCAGGGCGCTCCTGGACGCCCCAAGGACGTCTCCTGGCGATTCGGGCGCCCCAAGGGTCCTCCAGACCAGGCGCGCGGTGAATTAGCCACCGCCCGGGTGGTCCGACCAGGCGCGCGGTAAATTTGCCACAGCCCAAGGCCCCAGGGCGCTCCTGGGCGCCCCGGGGACGTCCCTCGCGATTCGGGCGCGCCAGGGGGCCCCAGACCAGGCGCACTGTGAATTAGCCACCGCCCGGGGGGTCCGACCAGGCGCACGGTGAATTTGCCACCACCCAAGGCCCATGGGCGCTCCTGGGCGCCCCGGGGACGTCCCTCGCGATTCGGGCGCGCCAGGGGGGGCCCAGACCAGGCGCCAGGGCGCTCCTGGGCGCCCCGGGGACGTCCCTCGCGACTCGGGCGAGCCAGGGGCCCCCCAGACCAGGCGCGCGGTGAATTAGCCACCGCCCGGGGGGTCCGACCAGGCGCACGGTGAATTTGCCACCCAGGGCGCTCCTGGGCGCCCCGGGGACGTCCCTCGCGACTCGGGCGCGCCAGGGGCCCCCCAGACCAGGCGCCAGGGCGCTTCTGGGCGCTCCGGGAACGTCCCTCGCGACTCGGGCGCGCCAGGGGGCCCCCAGACCAGGCGCGCGGTGAATTAGCCACCGCCCGGGGGGTCCGACCAGGCGCACGGTGAATTTGCGACCGCCCAAGGCCCCAGGGGGCTCCTGGGCGCCCCGGGGACGTCCCTCGCGATTCGGGCGCGCGAGGGGTGCCCCAGACCAGGCGCACGGTGAATTGGCCACCCAGGAGCCCCCCGGGAGCTCCCGGGCTCCCCCAGGGCGCAGCGCTGGGCAGCGCTTGGGAGCGCTTGCGAGCGCTTGGGAGCGCCTGGGAGCGCCTGGGAGCGCCTGCGAAAGCTTGGGAGCCCCCCAGGAGCCCACCAGGAGCTCCCCACGGCCCCCCCAGGGCGCGCGCCACGGTGAATTAGCTCCCGCCCGAGGCCCTCCAGGAGCCCTCCCAGGAGCTCCCCAGGAGCCCCCCAGGAGGCGGGAGCGCCCGGGAAGGCACTCCGGAAGTCCCTGCGGGAGCGCCCGGGAAGGCACTCGGGAAGTCCCTGCGGGGGCGCCCAGGAAGGCGCTCGGGAGATGCTTGCGGGAGCGCCCGGGAAGGTACTCCAGAGGTTCCTGCGGGAGCGCCCGGGAAGCGCTCGGGAGGTCGCTGCGGGGGCGCGCGGAACCTGCGGGGGCGCCGGGGAAGGCACTCGGGAGGTCCCTGCGGGAGCGCCCAGGAAGGCACTCCGGAGGTCCTTGCGGGAGCGCCCGGGACGGCACTCGGGAGGTCCCTGCGGGAGCGCCCGGGAAGGCACTCCGGAGGTCCTTGCGGGAACGCCCGGGAAGGCACATCGGAGGTCCCTGCGATCCTGGGCGCGCCAGAGACGTTCTGTGGCGATTCGGGAGCCCCCGGGCCATCCCAGGGCACCCCAGGCGCCCGCCACGGTGAATTGGCAGCCGCCCAAGGCCCAGAGCGATCCTGGGCGCGCCAGGGACGTTCGGGGCGATTCGGGAGGCCCCAGGGCCCTCCCAGGGGCGCCCGCCACGGTGAATTGGCAGCCGCCCAGGGCCCAGGGCGATCCTGGGCGCGCCAGTGGGTTCCGCGGCGATTCGGGAGCCCCCAGGGCCTTCCCAGGGCACCCCAGGCGCCCGCCACGGTGAAGTGGCAGCCCAGTGCCCAGGGCGATCCTGGGCGCGCCAGGGTCGTTCCGTGGCGATTGAGCCTTCCAAAAGCACCCCAGGC